AATAGCAATGATTCATATATACACATGGTCTAAGTGCATTCTCTGTTTGTCTTCAAACTTCACTTTTCCCCAAATCGTGTATATAAACCGTGGTTAAAAAGGGGCGATCGCAGACTGCCTCATTCTGTGGACTCTAACACACTGGGATATGCTGTTTTTCTGGAGACGAATCTGTTGCGTTCTTCTGGACTTTTATCAAAATGGAGTTTTTCCTTTTTGTCTAAGGCTGACGGATGATGACTACTTATTGGAATTACAAAGACTTTATTTTTAAGCGATCGCTATTACGACAGAATCTTGCAGCTGTTAATGATAGCAGGGGAGACAAAGCAAATGTGAGAGTGCTTCATGGATGTCAAACCTCTGCCAGCAGAACTTGGAACGGAGCGAGTCTTGGCAGTTTTCTGTGACCTCTATAGGAGCAAAGAAAAGCAAAAGGTTGTTGAAAGACTTTCAGACGAGTGGAAACGTCTCTCCCTCCTTTCATCACCTGTGTTCGTGTGTCTGGAGTGTGTATGGATGTTTACACAAAACAGCGAGCTTGTGACGCTTTGCTGCAGTAGTGGGCATGACAAGTCTCCAGGTTCTCTGCTACCGTTTACTAAACAGCGCTTGATAGGACGCCAGTGTTTTAGTAAATACAGAGGGGCATCGCGTGCATGTGTGTGTGTGTCCTTGTGTGTGTGTTTTGGGTTGAACTGCTACCAAGAAAGTTCACTTTTTGTTCAGGTAGCAACTACTGAAGGTGAAAAGGTCCTTTCTTCRTTGAGGAAAGAGACAAATGGAATCTGCCACACAAAGACGTGCAAATTATTTATATTTTTATTTACAGATCCATAATCAGGACTGTTCTTAGCTCTGACACAAACAAATCATGCATAACAGCTTTGGAAGAATTGTTCTCTGTCTGAGTTTATAATATAAACACCACACGCACAAAAATGCGTGTGTGTATGTGTGTGTGTGGCGGTGTGCATTCCGTTAGTTCGACAGGTGTGTGGAAGACTGCCACGAGCCAGGCAGCAGGTGAAGATAAGGGTTTATAGATTTTAATTGTCAGCGTATTGAGCAATAATTCTACTGCCTGAGGCAGCAAACACAGCTACAGCAACCCAAGACTGATGGATGATGAGCTGGGTGTCTCTCAGTCATACATGAAGATTAGCACTCACTTCAACTGCCTAACATCTTAGGGTCTGTGCTCAAAGCACTATAATTTTCTGCCAATTGAAGGAACCATAMGAACTTCAACAGGTGATGACAGTTTTATACGAGCAAAAGTGCTGTTCAGTTTGTTTTGTTTTTAATGAGACAATTAGAAAAAAAATACTAGGAGATAAACCCATAATTATATAGACATAGATAACCTATACTTTACTATAATTGTGCATGTAAAGAAAAGTGGTACAAGTCAGCAAATAAAGACAAGGGAGGTCCGGATACTATCAAGTGGGTTTCAATAAACACAACTTRGGGTTTAGGTAGTAAATCCCTCAGGTTTTACAACTTCTTATCTGCAAAGCCTCATGTAGAGCTCCAGTCTCCCACAGTATCCAGACTGATTAACAGTTATAAATTTGCCTCAGGTAGAAACTGCCAGATTAAGATGTCTCAAAGTGATGCCTGCTGTTAATGAAGTCACAGAGACATCCCCCCCTCCCAAAATGTTTCTGTTGGCAGAAAAGTGATTATGATGGAGCAATAGGGGTGGAAGGCCTCCTCTTTTTTTTCTACACAAGGTTTTTGTACTTGTCAGGGCAAAGTTTGAACAGGAAAAAAAAACCAACAAAAAATAGATTGCTTGAGTATTTTGGGGTATTTTAAAGATTTTTAAGCCAACATGATGTGGTATGATGTGTCAGGACGGTGTTGTGCTTTGTTCGTATGCTGGCAGACTCAAAGGAATAGTCTGGCTGTTTGATCAAATAGGACCTCATCAGCCATGACATCAGTCATAAAGCACAAAGTATGAATAAGAAAATAAGAATCCACACCAACCTATGTTGAAAAGGCCAGAGGTCTTCCTTTAGGCTAGGCTAGCCAAATGAAGGGCATTTATATAATTTTTCAGGAAAATAAACATTTTTTGTCAAAAACGGGATGTGAATTAATGCTACTGCATGACACAGTCAGTTTAGTTTGTCTCTGTTTTCTCAACCAGACATCTTGAAAATGTAGGTGTCCCAATTAACTCTTGAATGTCAGTCCACCAAGAGTTAGTTAAAGTTTTAAGTAACTACTTATGCTGATCAGGCAGATTTATACATTGAGCAGACTCAATGCCGCTGGCAAAATATACACTGGCTCTGCAGCGCTTTGTACAAATACAATAGCATTGTTTGGTTGAAAGAACAGAAACTTTCACACCAATATGACATTTTTGACAAAGAGTTGATTTATAAGTCTGCAAAACAATATGAAATGTGCCTTTGTTTTGTTAGACKTTGGAGTTGCATGAAGGAAGACTTTTTGTCTTTTTCTTAATGCTCTGTGGCTGATAAAGTACCAACAACTTCTTGATAGAGTATCATTTAAATGGCCAGACTATTCCTTTAATATTGGTCCCTTGTACAGTATTTCAGAATTTGATCCAGTATTCTTTCTATTGTATTCAATCATCTTTAAGAGAACTGAGGACCAATCAGAGTTTGTGAACTACTAACCTGGAAGAACTGACAATCCAACATTTTTTATAAATTTGTTTTCTTGTTTATCATCTACCTACAGTGTGAAGTTTTTATATTGTTTGTACAATTTTATTGTAAATACAGACACAACTTGAACATGAAGTTGCACTTACTGCCTTATAATAAAGCTTTGAAAAGAAGTTCAGATCTTCAGGAGTGGGATTCCGTGGAAAGGCTGTGAAAGATGGTTTTCTTACCTGTTGAGGATTGAGCAACCTCAATATGTAGGAAATGTGTTTAATTCTGACTGGATTAAAAAGTTAAAGGCTAGTCCTAGCAGGGCCAAGACCAAAGTGATTGCTGTCAACTTAAAAACTCCAATCTTTTATAACGTTTCTTGTGATCTATATTTTATAAACCATTTACCTTCAGTTAACTATAATTACACAGTTCTTCCAGCTGAAACACCATGATAATTCTGCAGGGAATGTCTCAGGCTGTACTGGAATTGCTATAGGTACTACTGCTGCTTTTTGCATTTCCAATTTAATATAAAACTTAATTTAAATACCATGTAATGTACAATTGGCTGTGAGTTTTTTTTAATTGCATCCACATGAACTGCCATAACATTAAGGTCAGTGGTTTTAAGTTAGTGGCAGTCCACTTTAGCTTCTGCCTYCCTCAGACTTGCCTTTATCTTGTTAATCTTTGTGAAGAATAACCTTTATTCCTTCAAACTGAGAATGCTCAAAGAGCTATCAACAACCAGTAACATAATAATGTTCAAATCATTTCCACAGAAAACCCACTTCAAAAGATCTCAAATGTCTGTTGTGTGATTGACGTGACTTATGTAAAGGTACTTGAATTAACTTTGCTTTCTTAATCACTCTGTTTCATAACAACAAACCACAAATTGTATTTCTTAAAATGTGAGTGGTTGACTCTGCACTTTTCGCACAGGTAAATCTGATATGAGAGCAAGTCTGACACCCTCTCTAAAGCAGGAATCTGTGATCCATCTAAATGTAACCACATCACTTGTTTTAAAATCAGTTATGCAAATGTTGACAGGTTGACCTCCTACCCCTGAGATATTTACCATTAGTGCCAAGATGTTAAACTCCACTTGACACACTTGAAGGGTGATACCTTCTCTTCTTGACTTCCTTCTTTCTTTTTCTCCCCCCTCCCCTTTTTTTTGTTTTTGTAAGATTAATGTAAATGACTGTCATGCTGCCCTTTGTTTCAGGATAAATAAAGGCCTGAGGGGAACACCAGTAAAAAGGTTTCCATTTATTTGAAAAACATACATGCTGATCAAACAGGGACTAGAAACTGTTTTTATTTTATTTTATTTTATTGCATTCTGCCTATTTATCTAATTATGTAATTTACCAAATACAGAAAACTGCCATGTTTTATTTTAATCAATTGATTACAAAAGATAATATGTGACACCCAAATTTGGCCGGGCAATTATGTATAGTAAAATAAACACCTTTGAGGATATTTTCTTATTATTGTTTTTCATTCTTTGCTACACAAAGACAGAACCAAGCCTTAAAACAAGGTATTTGCTCTCTCTCTCTGTTTTTCTCTCTCTCTATTTTCTCTTCACTTAAAAAAAGTCACTGATGATGAAGAAATAAATAAACTAAATAAACTAATAATATTTGGTTTTGTTTTCTACTGAAGTGACAAGAAAACAAGGTATTTAATGAATTAACACAAAATGTCCTTAAGTTATTTTGACATTGGATTTCAACTACCTTCGTTATTTACTTTTATAAACAACTACATTTTTCTGTATCTGTTTAACAGACAATAGAAATGGAAAAAAAGTTTATTACACCATAACTACTTTTGAGCATTGTAACAAATGTTTTAAATAATCAAACGTGTTAAAAAATACAATTTTGGGTTAATGGTAAAACCTAATTAAAAAATGTTCATAATTTATAAATAACTAAATTTTAACAAYGAGAAGTTAGTTTTTTAATTCAGCATCTTATACACAGCCTTTTGAATTTTGATTCCTTATCTCCTTGCTGAGGCCGCCTGCATCCAGTCAGTACTATCACTATTTGTGTGTTCGTTTTAGGACACCAAGGGATTTTAGTGTTTGGTAAGAAGGACAGCATGGGAATGTGGCTTTCCAACGTTTAGGAAAATCAGTTAACCATCCATCACACAAAGATCAGGTTACACTGACATGCAGGTTCCACACCAATGGTCACCGTTTTCCTGACGAGACTGTTTTCTCCCAGGATTTATAGGCTTACTTTCTCTTTCTTTCATTTTTCTTGAGATTAGGGGTACCGGGAAACATTAGAAAATAAACTGTTGTGAAAACACAAAYGTGTACACTGTAATTCTAAAACTTTTTATTCATATCAAAACACAAAATAACAGCATGTAGCACATCTAACAAATTCATTCTGACCAATAAAAGTTGCACCAATAAACCAACAATCACATATAAACCACAATACATGAACCTATWTACAGTTACCACATATTACACTCCCAGACTGTAAAATAATCCCATTGTTTAAATGTTGAACTCGAATACCTTGACCAAAGGTATACTTTTTTTAGTGCAGTGACTTCAGATACATTGTTGACAACATACACCTCCCTCTAAATGTGCTGTCTGTGCACTGAAAGAGTGATACCATCAAAGAATTACAGATAGCGATGTCGAATAGCCTGGAGTCAGCAGATCAGGCTGAGGTTCTGTTAATATTGAGTCAGATCTGATAGAGACTAGCTTAAGTTAGAATAAAAGCTGACAGAGGATCTGATAGTGAAGCTAAAAGCGGTTTCTGGGGCTGATGATCTTAGGCTGCTGCACCTGACTCAGCTGTTTCTGTGGGAATCAAAGCCGTTTTACTCAACTGTCACATACTGGTGGGAGCTCAACTGTCTCTGTCAGCGCAAACCTACGTTTACTTTTCCCCTGTGTATCGGTTTTCACGGCAGAAGAACTCTTAAACAAAAGTAACATCAGACATCTGAAAATTTCTTTTAAACAGTCTTTCCAAACATAACATACCCCCTCCCCCTTAAYGTCTTCTTAAACTTCTGTGCCCTCTCGATGGTAGATGATTCCCGTTGAGCCCAACGAAGGATAGAAATGCCCASTGGACCCATTGTACTGGCTCATGATGGGGCTGGAGTAACCCAGAGAAGAATGGGTGGGTGAAGAGGTGAGCACAGAGGGAGGTGGCACTTGTGGTACCCACTCTGGGACACCTGAGTTGGGGGAGTAGTTATTGAAGCTTCCTGGCTGGGTGGGTCTGTGAGCCCCATCTAAAGGAAGGTTCATCTGCAGTGGCCTGCTCAGCCCGTCGCCCCCCACCTCATTTGTTCCTCCAGCAGAAACTGTCGACATTTCAGACAAGAAGCTGCTTAGACACGGTGTGGGACCGGACAGAGACGGGGAGGGGATTCTGTCTGGTGGTGGGGACATGTTGAGGGCTGGGTGTTTGGGGCTGCCTCGCTCACTATCACCGGACTCTGGAGCCCCTGAGCTGCCGTCACCACCAGCCAGGGAATCAGACTTCCTCTTCCTTTTGCGACGGAAGTTTCCATTGTCGAACATCTTCTCACAGTTTGGGTCAAGTGTCCAGTAGTTGCCTTTACCTATTGGGTGGGATTAAGATTAGATTTAGAACTGAGACAATAGATTGCATTACTCAAACCAATAGCAAAAGCAGTACACACACAAATTATTACCTGGATCATCTTCATCTCGTGGAACTTTTTTGAAGCAGTCGTTGAGTGACAGGTTGTGTCTGATGGAATTCTGCCAGCCTGCTTTACTCTTGTTGTAGAACGGGAAGTTATCAGCTACATACTGATAAATCTGACTCAGTGTTAGTCTCTTGTCTGGCGCTCCGTGGATAGCCATGGCGATGAGAGCAGAGTAAGAATAAGGTGGGCGGACCAGCTTCATCAAATCTTCTTGTGAGGGAAGAGAGAACCAGCTCAGTTCCCCTCCCGGACCGCCAGGCCCAGCTGGACCCAGGTAAGGCCTCTGCATGCCGTAGTGCTGAGGCACAAAAGGAGGGCCAGGATTACCTGGTGGGCCGGTGGCAGACAGGTATGAGGACGTGTTGATTCCGGAGCTGTTGAACCACAGGTAAGGGTTTGGGGACGAAGCTGCGTAGTCACTCAGGTCGTAGGAAGCTGGAGTTGTGCGCTGAGGACTCGGCAGTGAAGGAGGAGGGTAGTAACAATCACCGTACATGCTCAGCTCAGGGGGCTCCTGACCCAAATTTGGAAACTGTGGACCACAACGAGGAGGAGACTGGTTCTGGTTCTCAAATGAAGACATTGTCAGGTTTCTTCTCACCTCTCAGTCACTTCTTATCTTCTTGTTTTTGGTCGTCCTCCCTTCGTCTTTTTCGTCAGTGCTCAAAAATATTTTTTCAGTCCTTTTCACTCTTCAGATCTTGAGCTGATCCAAAGGTTCGTCTCGGAGCCTTAAAATTATAAGCGACTCTTCTTCAGTCTTTTCTTGTCTGYTTGCCCTTGCTCTATGTCAAGATGTCACCTGTTACACCTGCTTTATCTTCTGCTTTGGTAACGCCCCTAGTCAAATTTGATTGGAGGTTTTCTCAGGTGAAAAGTTTTACTGAACACCCCCACCACCACCACACGCACACTTTTTTTTTTTCTCCTGTTGTCAGCTATTTCAATCCGCCTAGGGGTTTTGTTCACTGCCATTTAAATAATTTTCCACTTGATGTGTTACTCCTGCAAAAAATTATTAATCAGTTATTTTTGTTTTCTCTGGGTGCAGTTGTTTTTTTGTGGTCTAGACACATAGTTAAATCAAAATTTTAAAAAATATATATTTTTTAAATATATTTTTAATACATTTTTGCATTTGTTTGCTACTCTTTCTATCGTAGATCATTCAATCACCATGTAAGCAAATCTTTAACTACATTAATCAAAAGAGCTAATTTTCTAAACTCTTTGACATTTTCTTCTTATGTAGATGATTGTTTTTAGGTTTTACTTTGGGTAATACTAGAGGATATTATCTGCCTTAATACCTTCACAAGTAAAGACACTAAACAGTGATGATGAACAAAAGCCATTAGGTTTTACAGCCAGTCAAGTAAACCAAGTAATTTTAATTGAAGAATTCTGAGTGTTTATATAATAACCATAATATGGATTTCTTAATTTTTCCACTGATTTGATTTGTTAGGTTTAAAACCTTCCTTAAATAGTACTGCATTTAGGACATTGACTTACTACTAAAAATACAGTTTTGAAGTTCTTGTTTTCATTATTAATATTTCTTTTTCAAAATTTGTATATTTTACAACATTATAACCAACCACAAACTATGAGCCTAAGGTCATAATTATGAATAGATGAAGATAAGACTTAATTCATGGAAAGGTCCTTTCTAAAATTAAGTGTTGTCCACAGGAGTGGGATTTTGTTTGTAGTCATATCATAATAAGTTCCAGTGTTTTGATTATAATTGGAATGCTTTTTTGTTTTTAGGCCCCACACACTCTAAATTCTACTCAGGTGTTTATATTTGGTCATTTTTTTCAACAACTTTAAGAGAAGTGTTACTCTCTGATGGGAGGAACGTATCAATCAAGAGGCAAMAGTTTCCTTTTTTGCTTTTGATGACATCTGGCCTGTTAGAACCAATTACAAATTTCCCTATCCGTTAGGATATGCTTGTGCCAAAGAATGGTGCCATAATCATTTTCTACTACAGTTAGGAGCTTGTGGTTATTCCATTTCTCTTTTGTTTTGATGTTATGTTCCTGGTGGATGTTCCAGGGTAGGTATTTTTATTTAGTATTATAATGGTGTTTTATCATTGTCCACGTTTTTGACACTAAATTTATTTGAGTGCTTCAGTTATTACTTACATTAAAAACAATTTAGATAACTGGGGTGAGAACAATGGGCCTCATGCGAGTCATTTAGGAGAGTTTGTGGCATTCACCAATTTTTTCGTATTCTAAGATTTTCTTCAGATACGAACAAAATTCACTAGTGGTCCAGACCTGTCGTATATTTTACGAGCAGTCAGTCTGCTGTTATCTAGATGGATTTTCTTCATTAATAACTTTAT